TCAGACATTTTCACACAACCAAAAGTATATGACGCCAAAACAAAATCACTAACGTGTCAAAGCGGTTTGTTTACCATATGTCTAAGCTTGGCTCGTGACGTTTTGGATATGTCAAAATCGACCAGCACTTACTGCTAAAGCCATCTATTGACAAACAGCGGGAACTTAGTTGCGCATCTAATAAATATAAAAGGTAAAGAAAAATTCTTTCTTGCTAACGCACAGTGGGATAGAAACTCAAAAAAAGTGGCAAAAAGTTAAAATGTCGACGGATTTGCGTAAAACTTAGTACCTAGAGGTTTTTGGGACAACTGATTTAGAATCTAATGTCAAAAGCAAAAAATCCAAAATTGCGGATCCAATATGGCGGCCACAATTACAAAATTGTGACGGATTTGCAGAAAAACTTGGTACTTGTGTACCTACAAAGTTTTTTTACAGAATTTTAAAATATTTAACAAATATTTCAAATAATATTGGATTTAATAAAATTTGTTAAATCTAAAGAAACCGTCTCTCTCTGTGTATTCTGTAAAAGTTCTTGGGATGTTCTACACAAATCCTGTAAGAATCCTTGGAATGTCCCACATATATATATATATAATGGCCTAAGGATAATTCAGGGACTAAACAGGGAACTCATTTGCTTTTTTTCAGGATATTCACAGGATATCTGTTTCGTCCGTATAAGATGTCCTCTGGATTTTCAGAGGACGTCCATGTGCTATTTGGGTTTTAACTATGTACTTTAATAAGTGTAGATGATAACAATAGGAGGAAAATTTTTCTTTATAAATAGATATAAAATAATTGACTTTTTGCCACTTTTCGAGTTTTTATCCCAATGTGTAACGTAAGCTAATTCTGGCCTGTGTTGATTTGACTACGACTTTACGATTACGATTAAAATTTTATTAGTTACATGGAAAGCAAAAATCTTTGTTTTATACATGTTTCTTTGTATGCAAAGCAAAACTTGCTAAAGTTTTGCGTAATCTTACGTTGCTGAGATTTTTCGAAGTTTTCGTTGTTGATCTTTTGCGATTCATTAATGTCTAGAATGCAAATAAGTTCTTTCAAAGCGTCTTTCAGTTTTGTGCTTTTTGTCTCGTGTTGTAAACCCCAGATCCACGCAAGTTTGCAATCGCAAATTAATCTGTTGTCTAGAAACACAAAAAGATCAGCATTTTAATTAAGATCGTATACATATATGTATATATTGTTTATATATATATACAGGGTGTCCCTGAATTGCCGTACAATCTCTCGTAGGCAGGTAGAAGGAGTAAAACTGAGTCGAAAAGTCCTGAACCATTTTTTTCTATTATTTATAATAAAGGAGTAATTATTGAGTAAATCAGGCCAATCAGCGCAGACCTTTAGCCA